AGAAGGGGGGGCCCATGGGTCTCGCAAGGCTTCGCGGCTCTTAGCGCTGAGGGGCTCTAAGGCGCACGAGACGCACAGGCCTGCCTCATAGGGGTCATCGCCCTCCTATGGTGTCATGGAGGGTCGGGGGGGCATGGGGATCGGCCCATTGAGTTCATGGGGCCCCTGGGGCTCGTGAGCTCATAGAGTTCATCGGGCTTCTGGTGCTCATAGGCGTCAACGGGCTCATCCGGCTCATAGGGCCCATGGAGCTTGGAGAGCTCATGGGCTCGTAGGGCCCCTAAGGCTCATTGGGCTCCTAGGGCTCATAGGAGCACTCGGGTTCGCGGTGGCCATCGGGCCCATGGGGCCCATAGGGCTTACAGGATGAAGGGGAGGATGGGGGTAGGTTTTTGGAGAGAGCGGCAGAGGGGAAGACCAGTTGAGGAGGCCACTCAGGAAGCTCCAAAGGGACAGCGCGGTCGATGCGAGGCCGCGGCGCCTGAGGGCGGAAACAGAGGGCCACGCTGAGGTCGGCCAGCGCCAGCAGCCGGACATCGCCGAACGCGGAGCTGACGTAGGCGATCGCACGGACTGCGTCGTCGCACCCGACGACGCCGACCTCGGCGGCGCGTCGGCGGCCCCCGGGAGGAGCTCGCCGATGACTCCCCAGTCCAGCTCGCCCCACGCGCAGCGACCGTCGCGGCGGAACGCGCGGAAGAAGAGCTGTCGAACCGTGTGCCCCCGAAAGTATTTGCACCCAGCGTGGAGGTGCATGAGTTTCGGTTCCCGCGACTCCAGCGGTTCGCGGAGGACACCGGGGCCCCAGGTGGCAGGCGGCGTCGCGGTGAACTTGCCCACGAAATTGCGCACAGCAGCCATGCTGGCGCCATCGTCGACGAGCTCCTGCAGCGCGGCCAACCCGCCGACAGGGCGGCGGGTATCGAACCGCGACCCCCCGGGCTTGAAGCGCTGACTCAAGTGGTGAACCACGTCCGCGGCGCCCTGCATCGCGAAGGCGGCGGCGCGGGAGGAGACAAATTTCGCGAAGGCAAGCACCACGCGGCGCCAAGGCGCCACGTGCATGAGCGCAATCCATCCGAAAATGTCGGCGTCGTGCTCCAGCACGGACGTCAGAACAGTCTCTGCGTAAAGAAATGCTTCGGCGTCTGCCCGCTCGGAGATGCGCGACCACGCGGGGGCAGGGGGCGCAGCGTCCGCGGACAGGGGCGCGGCGACGTCCACGAACGCGGCAGGGGGCTGCCAAAAAACGCGTTCGCTCGAGAGGCCGTCGCCGTCGCGGTCTGCCCCGGGCGCAGCATTCGGCGCCAGATCTGGCGGGGGCACCACGGGGTTACCGGCAGCAGGGGCTGCCTGAGGAGCTTGGCCGCGTCGGCGTCGGCGTCGAGCAACGCTTGTAGCTGGGCGACCTCCGCCCGCAGGCGGCGGACCTCAGTTCAGGCGAAAGACGGGCCCAAAAGGGCCCCCTCGGCAGCCAACGGCGCCCACCTCGGGACCAATCGAGCGAGAAGGCGACGCAGTTGCCGCGCTGGGGCAGGCCGAGTTCCCCGCGCGGAGCGGAAAGGCCAGCCCAAGACGCCGTGAAGATGGAATCGTCGAAGGGGATTTCCCGGGTAGGAGCGGTGGCTCGGTGCTTCCGCTTTTCGGCCACGGGGCGGCGGAGACAGGAAGCGCTGTCAAGCGGGGGCCGAAGGCGCCTGGAGCCAAAAGGGAGACAGGGAAGAGGTTGCAGGAGCGGGCAGTGGAGAGAAGGAGCGAAGGAGGCAGGGAGGGACACAAAGGGCAAGAGAGGTCACGAAAGACATAGGGAGGGAAGGTCAGAGGCGTCGTCGATGGAGATATGAGGGGAGCTGGTGCTGCGGCGCAGGGAAGCAGTAACAACGAGCTCGCTAGAATGAATGACTGTTGTTCGTTGGCTGTTGCCGTGGACGATCAACATCGGCTCAGAACCGGTCCCCGATGCCAGATCGCGTTTGGACGGGTGATCCGAAAACGGTCCCGACAGGCAGAAACGTCGAGAACTGTATCGTCGGGTTTGGGTGGTGGATTGTCCTCCTTCTCGTCCAGCCTCTTCCTGCTTCCCTCCTCCTCCTCCCTCCTTCGACCTCCTTGCTCCTTCGCCTCTCCTCGTGCGCCTCTCCCCCGGGAGAGCGGGCTTCACCTGCGGCTCTGAGTGGAGGATTCGCAGTGGGGCACCTTCGGCTGTCTCGTGGCCCTCATGGGGCCCCTGGGGTCCGTCTTCCTAGGAGGATCCGCAGAACGCTACGTCACCACATGTGTGCTGAGTGTCCCCTCACATGGACCGCGCCCCACAGGGAGCTCCATCGACGGTGAAGAGCCGACGTATGCATGCCGCTTCACCACTCCACCGACGGTGAAGAGCCGACGCGTGCATGCCGCCGCACCGTCCGTGGCGGCACACCCGTGATCTGGATTATGAATTGGGGGGGCCCTTCGGGGTCTCGCGGCGTGCGGGGTGAGAGCTCTGGAGGTGTTAGGGCTCCCAGGCCTCACAGGGCTCATGGGGCACCATGAGGCACCATGGTGGTCGTAGGGCTTGTGGGGCCGACAGGCCTCATATGGCTGATAGGGGTATGGCTTCTCGGGGCTCTCGGGGGGCTCCTTTTGAAGCTCTTTTGGGCTGTCTGGCGGCCCTCCAGGGCAGGGCCGTCCCGGGACCCTTTTGGGCCGTCCTGGGGGGGGCTTGGGCCGTCTTGGGCCCCTCTTGGTTCTTCTTGGGGGCCCCGTGCGGCCTTCTTGGGGCTTTCTGGAAGCCTTTTGATGGTTTTTGGGGTCGTCTTGGGGCTCTCTTGGGTCGTTTTGGAACCCTTTTGGGCTGTCTTGGGGCTCCCTTGGGGGCTTTTTGGGCCGTCCTGGGGCGATCTTGGGAGCCTATTGGCCCGTCTTGGACGCGGTGAAGGCCAAAGAAGCGGATATGCTAAAAATGTACGTTTTCCGACGGGAATGGGACGATTGTAACCTCTTGGGGGTCTTCTTGGGGGCCTCTTGGGCCGTCTTGAGAGCATCTTGGGCCGTCCTGAAGCCACCTTGAAGCCTCTTTGAGCGCTCATGAGCCGTTCTGGAGCGGTATTGGGCCGCCTTGGGGCTTTGCGGGACCGTCCAGGGATGGCCGGGGGAGGCTCCCGAAACCGAAATTCGAATTTGACGTCGGTGGGAGCGCCCAGGGCCGAATTTATGTACGGGGGGGGGTCAGGGGGGGGTTTTCGCTTTCAGAATATTCGAAGAGGAATACATTAGATGTGTGCACCCCGCAGTCGCGGATAAGAGTGAGGGGGCGGCGGGGACGTCGGCAGTCTGCGACGCGCTGAACAAGCCCGCCGCAGGCGCCGATTTTTCGTTAAAGCAATGTGGGTGGGTCGCGAGGTGGGTCGCGGGTGAATCGTGGGGGGGTCGCGTATGGGTCGCGGGCGGGTCACGGGTGGGTCACGGGGGGGTCGCGGGTGGGTCGTGGGGGGTCGCGGGTGGGTCGCGGGCGGGTCGCAGGGTGGGTCGCGGATGGGTCGCGGGTGGGTCGTGGGGTGGGTCGCCGGTGGGTCGCGGGTGGGTCGTGGGCGGGTCGCGGGGTGGGTCGCGGGTGGGTCGCGGGCCGGGTCGCGGGGGGGACTACGCCAAACAACAAACAAACAATCAAACAGACAAACGAAAACGAAAACTACGACGAGAACAACCACAACAACAACAACAACAACAACCACAACAACAACAACAACAACAACAACAACAACAACAACCGTAGCAGCAGCAACAACCACAACAACAACAACAACAACAACAACAACAACAGTAGCAGCAGCAACAACCACAACAACAACAACCGAAGCAATAACGACAGCAATAACAGGATATCAATAATACTAAGAAGAACCAGACGAACAAAAAAAAAAAAAAAAAAAAACGACATCAACATCAACAACATCAATAAGAGCAACAACAACAACAACAACAACCACAACAACAACAAGAATCCGCATCGAAATCCAATTTCGGCAACGCACCCAGGGACTGTGAATGAACGTTCGCCCGCCCCCCACTCTGATATATATATATATAGATACATACATACATACATACATACATACATACATACATACATACATACATACATACAGATGTATAACATACGTCCATATATATAAATGTGTATGTGTGTATGTACGCGCACGCAAATGTGAAGACGTGATGACGGCGGTGATGACAGCGACGAGATATGATGAGGTGTCAAGCAAACAAGCACTCAAGCACGCAAGCGAGCAGCAACATACCTCGACTGAACGCAGCGTAACCCTGGTACCAGAAGCTTCGCCAAAGACAAGACAAAGTGAGGGCAAGCTAGAGATCAGACTGCAGACGGGCTGAAGCCTATAGAAAGCTGCAACCCCGCTGAGGATTGTAAGGGAGCAAGCTGTCAAGGGTTACGGCGGCGTGCTGATGTTCAATGCACTGTGGTGCGTACGGCGCAACACCTTGATCGCATTGGCTTGGGTTGCCTTAATGTGCTGTTGATTCCGCTGGAAGATTGAACAGCAGCCACCCTGTTCTCGCGCATAGAGCTAGCCACTGCCTGCTCCTCCTCCACCTGCCCCTCCTTCTGGGCATCACTACCACGAGCATCACCGTCAACGTTATCGTTGGCACGGTCATCGTAAACTTCGTCATCATCAACATCATACTCACTATCACAGGCCATCAGCAGTATCATCACCACAAGACCATCATAATTCATCATCATAACTATCACTATCATCATCAGCATCATCATCACCACCACCATCATCATCGTCATCGTCATCGTCATCGTCATCGTCATCGTCATCGGCGTCGTCATCAACATCATCGTCATAATCATCGTTATCGTCGTCGCCATCGTCGTCATCATCATCATCGACGCCGTCGTCGTCATCGTCATCGTCATCGAGGCCGCCGCGCGCCCGGTGGCTGCCCGACGACCGCCCGCGCGGCGGCGGCTCCGAGGAGCGCGCCTCCGCCGCCGAAGCCGCCGCCGGGGGGCTGCATGACGTCGATCCCGAGCGGCATGCCGTCGCGCCTTGGGCGCGCGGCCCCGGGTAGGGAGCCCACAAAGGACGTACGCGCCCAGCTATGTACATGAACACAGTCCCTTGAAACGCGAGACCGGCCGCGTGATACGAACATTCGCGCAATGCGAACTCTCGAAACCAGTGTGGATTCGTGTACGTGAACGTCCTTCCTTCGCTCCTGACCTGGTGGGGGCGAGAAGGTCGAGGGTCGAAGGTCTATGTGAGGTTTGGCTTCTGTTCCGTCCTCCAAAGACCTCCAAAGCCTCCGTGGCGGCGGGAGCGTCTGCAGGAAATCTTCTTGTGATGACGCACCGTGCCGGCACAGAGAGGTGGGAAAACAAAAATGATATGTAGGGGGAAATCTTCTTGTGGCGACGCCCCGTCCTCTGGAGGCCTGCGAAGACCTCCGGAGACCTCTTTAGGGCCACGGAGAACTCCTCCCTCCTCGACTCCGTCCCTCTTCCTTATTAACAAACCCTCCCTGTCGCAGACGTGTTGGTAGTCCGGGCCGTGCGTTGCGTCTAAGACTTCCTTGCCGCTCATGACTTCGGAGCTTGCAGTTTGCAACTGCTTCAGAGATGGAGCACATGTCGTTTTCAAAATGTAGCTCTCGCCTGAGCGCCGCGCACAGTCGTTTTTTCAAGTTGCCACGGCTTCAATGATGGAGGCCTGTTCCTTTTCAAAACGTGGCTCTCGCTCCAGCGCCGCGCACATTCGTCTCAAAAATCTATAACTGAAATCACGCGAATAATGTGCCGTCACGACCGACGACTGTCAGGACGCAACAGTCACGATGATCCGCGGTGCTGACGTCCCATACACGGTGTTCTGGTACGACCTAAAAGTCAGGTCGCAACAGTCACGCTGATTCGCGTCGTTGCAGGATTGACGAGTACAATACAGCTGTCTTTGGATGGGGCATGTCCTGCAATGAAAACAAACTCGTGTAAGACTTCTGAAATGGAATCTTGGAGGGTTGACTGCAACATCGTGGATGCGTCTTGGGTTTAAACTGGCTCTCCTCATCTTCCCCCTCCTCCTCCTCCTCCTCCTGCTCCTGCTCCTGCTCCTGCTCCTGCTACTCCTCCTCCTCCTCCTCCTCCTCCTCCTCCTCCCTCATCGACTCCTCCTTGCGCCCGTGCGCGCGATCTACCTTACAAGCCAATCAAATCGTGTGCAAACTGAAACCAGGTTTCGGGGGACGCCGATTTCTTAACTCACACACACATACACACATACGCACGTCCTGACCAGACCAAACCTGGGCACAAAACTGGCGTATGCGCCCTCTGTCATCTGAGAAGAACACTGTACAACCCCGACCCAACACAAAGTGGGCCACCCTCCTCACAACATTTCCATTGCGTCGGAGTGCTGAGTCAGGGGTTCGTGCCTACGGAATCCTATTTGCTTTTGCGAAAGTGCCAGCAAATCGCCCACATAACCGGATGGGCCTTCGGGTCGAATGTAATGTCGTGTGCTGCCCTTTCCGGGAGCGCTTCCAACACTGAACGAGGGACTTTGGAAGTAACGCGAGGAGGGGCACGGAAGAGGAAGAGATTATGCTGACAATGGGCGGCCTCTGAATCTCCGCAGATTGCGCCTCGAATACCGCACAAGCTTAGCCGCCTGATTCCGCCGCATCTCAGCGAGGCCATCCTACGGGTGCACATTCGCCCAACGTGTGGACAAGGTATCGGCGCGGGCGTGGCCCACAGAGTAGCACAGGGCATGGCCCAAAAGATCTGAAAATCTCTTGGGACCCATGCGCACCTCCGCAATTCTACACCCCATGGAAACGTGATGTTCCGCGTCAAACAGATGTTCTCAAAAAAATGTTGGCCATCGGGCCTGAGCTGAGGTTCCGTTTCCAAAGACGATCGGGTGCTGAAAATGGAGCACCCTTCAAACAAAAAGGACATGCTTCTAGAGTGCAACGGCACTTGACATCCGTTTCCAACATTTAGACATATACACACATATATACACACAGCCCGCCGCACACACACACACACACACACACACACACACACACACACACACACACACAAACACACACACACACAGAGAAACAAACAGACAAACTGACAAAATAAGAAGCAAGCAAGCAAGCAAGCAAGCAGACAAACAAACAAACAATCAAAGAGACACCAACTGGCGAACTAACACGAACTAGCGAACTAACAAAACCTAACGAGGCGAATCCCGCCGTAGCGACGACGACGCCCTGGGAGGGGCCGCAAAAAACGAAACGACCAAATGCCTTCCCCCTCCAAGACCTCATCTTCCTCCGCTCCCAAACTCCTCCTCCTCCTCCTCCTCCTCTTCATCCTCCGCTCCTCCTCATCTTCCTCCTCCTCATCCTCATCTTCCTCATCCTCCTTTTCCTCCTCCTCCTCCTCCTCCTCCTCCTCCTCCTCCTCCTCTTCCTAGTCCCTGGAATGGCGTTCTGGCGCGATTCGGGAACGCCAGGAAGGAACATTCAAGTTGATTCCCCACTCTGAAATTGCAAGACTGGTGTCTTGGCGCGAGTAACGACTCTCGGACGGTTAATTTTCAACGGGGCACCCCCCGCACTGAAAACAAATTGTGGTAGGGACCTATCAAATGGGAATTCTGAACGAAATGTATTGCAACATCGTTGGCAAAACCGTCCGAGGCGACAGCAAACCGAAAACCGGCCGAGCCGACAACGAAATCGGAACTGACCGAAATCGAAAGGCCGAAGACAACATCAATGGCGCAACGACGAGGCTACGCCACGATGACCGACCGAACCGAACCGACCGAACGCAACCGACTGCGATGCAACCGAACTGACCGAACCGTGAACTCCCTTGGTTGGTGCGTCTTGGGTTTGCACTGGTCTTCTTTCCCCGCTTCCTGCTCCTGACCCTCCTCTTGCCCATCCTCTCTCCTTCCCTCCCTCCGTTTCCCCCTCCCTCCTCCCGCTCCTCTGAAAACTCCTCCTCCCTCCTCCTGCCCCTCGAACCAGCGGCCGCTGGCCTCCGCATGTAGTGCTCAACCCCGGGCTGGCCGCACCCCTCTGCCTCGCGGAAGGCCTCAGCCGCCCCGCGCCCTGGCACGCGGGGGGGGGGGGGGCGGGAGGATGCGGGGGGAGAGGCGGGGAGTAGAATTGCGGGGGCTGGTGGCTGGTAAGACAGCATGGCGGCGGTAAAACTGACGTGTTCCCCATAATATCAGGCGCATGCGTTCCAGAGCTGCGAGCCCAGATAGCAGCCAAGCATCCTATTCGAACCGGAATTGCGCGGGCGATCGAACAATTCTGGCGGAGCATAGGAACCGAGAAAGAGGGAATGCCAGAACTGTCCAACCCTCGCGCATCTGCCGATTTCGCACAAGATACATGGCCGCTACCTGGGGGGGCGCGCGCGAGGCCAGCGGAGCGCGTGCTCACTGACTGCGCTCCGAGGGCACGCTCGTGCTCTTAAGAACGGCATCGAGCAGCTCACCTGAGCGGCGCGAGGCGGCTAACCAGGCGCTGCGATTGCGCGCGCGCGCGAGAGGGGCGCGAGCCCCGGACCGAGGGGCCGAAAGTCAAATTGAAGCTCGAACACGCGACCTGCGAGGATGAGGGAACGAGAGATAAGACGAGACCTCGGCCTGGTAGAATGGATCTGGGAAAGAAGGTTGACATTTTCCTCGGGGGGCGCGGAACATGGCATCCTGCGCCACGCCTCGCCGCGCAGTCGACGTCCACCCAATCCACGTCTCCCACCGAGAGAGCGGTGCGAGGCCTGTCCGAGCCCGCCGCGGCGTCGTCAGCTTCGGACTCCTCAGCGCCCTCAGCGGGCGCGACCTTCTCCTCGTCATCGTCGTCGGCGGCCGTGTCCTTCCTCGACTGGTGCCCCGCCGCCCGCCACTGGCCCCGCGCCGTCTGGCCGCCGAGACAACAGCAGCGCGTTTTCTTGGGAGCCCTTGCGAGCTCGGCCGCGGGAGCTCGTCTTCCTGTCCTCGCCGTGCCTGCTGCTCTTGCTGCCGCGCTTGGACTGGCGGCGCTGCGCAGGGCCACGGCTGCCGATAGGTGCCCGGGATCCCGCGTCAGGCCTGAACGGGCGCACGTCGGCGACTTGGCACCCAGGAGCTGGCGCAGCATGCACTGGGGCGGCCCAAGGGGCAGTGGAGGCTTGCCCTCCGGCTCTGGCTGGGACGGCCTGCTCTTCGCTTCAGGCGACCGAGAGCGAAGCCGAGGCCGGCATTCCTGGGCCCGGGCGCCCCTGGCCCGCATGGGCCCTCGAAGATGCTGGGCCAGGGCGGCCCGGCCTCAAGCCTCCAGCGCGGGCGGCACGCAAGGCGCAGTAACGGGTTAGTGGGAGGACCCAGCGCGCCGCCAAGCGCTGGGCGATGACCATGACGGACGGCGCGCGGTCTCCCCCTCGACCGCGAGGGGCCCGTCGGGGTCGACGTTGCACTGCCCGCTCGCGACGCACACCTCGCGGCCGAACGCCACGCGCTGCTCCAGGTCCATGCAGCCGTCGATGTAGAGCACGAGCTTTGCGACGTGCTCGGGGAGAGGCTTGCTCCCGCGCCACTCGCAGCGGAGGTGCTTGGCGACCTTGACAGCATCGCGCAGCTCGTCAGGAGAGAGGGGTCGCGCCGCGACTTCCTGAGCACGATACCACGCAGCCTTCTTGTCCACCGCCCGAGTACGCGATGGCCTCCTCGAACGCTTCCAGCGGAAGCACAGGCGCCCTCGACTTGCTCCTCGCGGCCATCCGCGGGCGCACCCAGCCGCGGAGGCGGCGACGGCTGGGGCGATGCCGAGGGCCGAGGGGCAGCGCTGCCACGGCCTCGCATCGCTGGGGGGCTGCGCTGGCGGCGGCGCGCGCCGGGAGGCGAAGGGGCCACGTGGTCTTCGCGGCTGCGGCGGCGCGGCACCTCGGCGTGGCCCCCCAGGCTGCTGCAGCGGCGACCTCCTTCGCGGCGATGGTGAAGGCAACGTGGTGGAGGTGGCGCACGATGGGATGGGCACGCCGCTTCGACTCTGCTGCAGGTGGCGGCGGCGCCGTGGGCGGCATCCTCGGCGGCGAGGAACCATCCTTCCTGGCTGGAGAGGAACGCCCTTGACGGGCGCTCTGCTCTGGCGCCGTGGAGGCGAGCTGGCGCTCGCCTCTGGAGATGATGGCGTGGCTGGCCGCTTCGTCGCGGCGACCTGCTCCTCTGGCATGGCCACGCGCGTCGCCTCTTCGGGCGCGAGCGCATGCCCCGCGAAGGGCCGGCTGGCGCAGGCGAGCGCGCAGGCGCCCAGCGCCGCGCTCGCGGCCCGCGCGCAGGGCCGCTGGCGCAGGCCAGCGCGCAGGCAACCGACGCCGCGCGCGGCTCGCACATTGAAAATGCAAACGGACGCGGATGTTGTGCACGTATGCGCACGTGCAAGTTCACACATCGCATCGCGCACTGCTGCGCATGCCCTTCCACTTGCAACTGCCATACTACCAGTTCCATACAGTGCCTGCCGCGCCACCTGTCCCAGCCAAGGCAACGCGATACATCTACTGGGAGCGTGTGGATCCTGGCAATCATGAAATAAGACATGGGACCTCCACACGAGAGATGAGAAGGAGTAGATAGGTTTTGGCAAGGCCCGACTGGAGCACGATCACACTGGACACTGCTGGTTGTCTCCCTCGGCGGGCTTGCGCCCATGACCAGATGGCACGGTGAGCTTGGTCGCAGCGTTGAGGATGACGGCATATGGAATGTGGTCTCTGCCGGAGTGGAGTGCTGCGCGGTCGATGCAACCCTTCGTGAGTCCGCAATCATGTTGCGGATATCCTCCCAGCTCAGGGCCGATAGCTGGCCTGAACACAGGAGGTCTCGGAGCCACAGGAAATGCGGCAAGAGTGAGTGATCTGCTCGAGGCTCGGGCCTAATGACCACCACGGCGGCGACGACGCCCGTAGAGTCAAGGCAAAGCTCGAGCTGCACAGCCGAAGCCTGCTGCCCATCTTGCTGGCACCGCTCGGCGCATGGACCGCGAGGCCCGAACGTAGTACTGAGCGCCAGGCCATGATCCATGGATGAGTTCGCGGCCGTCCATTCACTGGTGAAGGTGTTTCTTGTCACCGTGTTGGTAGATCAAGACTTCCAATCCAAAAAATGGCAGAGGATAGTGCCAGTAAAAGAAGCCGGCGCTGATGTTGAGAATGTGGTGCCCATGCACAGAATACTGCACCGCGTAGGACACGACCTGCCAAGTACCCCTTCCGTGTGTTGGGGTCTCGACTGGGTCCCCGTGGCCCCCGACTCCCCTGGACCTCCAAGGAGCCCACGAAACTGGCGACAGTTGCGCAGTTCGCAGCCACCCAGGGAGCAGCCAGCTCTCGTCTGGGTCCGCGTGGCCCCCGACTCCACTGGACCTCCAAGGAGCCCACGAAACTGGCGACAATTGCGCAGTTCGCAGCCACCCAAGGAGCAGCCAGCTAGTCGAAAGTGAGCCTGGTAGCTCAAATATGGCATATAGCCTGGCAAATTGCATCCATCGCTCTGCTGTGAAGGTACAGTATGAGGGGTGGATGAGTAAGATCGGATAAGATCGATGTAATGATCTTTCCAGCACATAGCGAACACTCGCGGTGTCCGGGCAAATAGGGCGCGCGTGCCTTGGGCCAATGGCAACGGCGCGCGAGCTATGCTCCCGATACTGTAACATCTCCCAAAGAGCTACCCTTAAAGTCGGGAGGGGAGGAGACGGAGAGCATAGTCGCACGCAAAGATCGCGCGCACGACTGTTTGCAAAGAAAAGAAAACAGCGCGTACAGTCTGGTCAAACACCAGACTGTAAGGCGAGTTTCCTCGCAAAGTATTTCACGCAAATACAGGACAGCCCTTTCAAACAATGAAGGGCTATCGGCTCAGTTAGAGGTAAGCCAAAATTAGGCCATACCTCACCAAGCAAATGTGTATTAAGGCAAAGAGCCTGAGTTGTACGAAGCCGGCTCGTTGCCAGGCGTGAAATATAAGGCTCGTTTCCGAGCAGCTAAAGGGGCGCCTTTATAGTAGGCGCCCGTGCTGGCAAACTGGACCGCGAGGGCAACAAGGACAGACTAAAATTGATTAGACTTAGGTTTGTCTCTGTCCTCGGGACCCCGAAAGGGAACAAATTGTTTCACGTCATACTTAAATGACTGAGTGCCTGACATCACTTCCAGAAGCAGCTCCCGATCGATGCTTCCCTTGTATGCCCATCTGCGGTCATATCCCTAGTATCACACCATTGCACGTTATGTACTATACCTATATCCATGAGCTCACGTATCCAGCTGATATGTCCAAGCAGAGTCCGTTCTGTAGGTATTTTGAGATCCCTGCTTGATAAAGATTTGCAGACGGACTCGGCGTCTATGGTAAGAGAGACTTTAATAGCAGGGCCTCCAACTTCACGCATGTCTCGTAGTTGTCGTGGAGTCAAAGCCCCTGCCTTAAGCTCGTGGAGAGTAATGAGCGTAGGGTAACACTCATCAAGGTTATGTGCGGCTGCAAGTGCCTCTGCAGCATAACTGGACCTCACCTGTAATCGGTGTGATTTGCATAGTCCGTCACAGAGGTGAACGACGGACTTGCCTTGGGGCGAGTTTCCTCGCCGTAGTACGTTGGCCCCGCGCATGCCGTAGCCCTTGGTCTCGTCATCCTCCTCCCCGGTAAGCTTCCGATACCCCGAATCGCTATGGATGTCAACTTCATTCGTCGGCTTCATCCGAGGGAAGGTGATACGTTTCGGACTGCTGATCAGCTTTCGCGTCACAGCATTCAAACGTCTGACTTGCAAATTGGTGGGCTCTTGAACTTTCTGAAGAGAGACCACATATACCATGAGCCAGATTTGGGTAAGAAGGGCATAGGCGAGGGCTCCTCGCAGGCTGACGAACATGTCGGTAATGAGTTTCGTGGCTTTGGCGCCGGCCGCCGCTCCTGTAAGTTCTGGGTGTGTGATAGGACGTAGTTGTTTAATGTACTCGTCCTGGTCCATGATCACATCTCCCTGATCATTCTTAGTGTAGCGAACGGCGCAGTTCGTATATGTGTGCTTGTTGAGCTTGCATTTGCCAAACACCTTTTCG